AGATCGAGTGGAGATCCGCTACTGAAGAACTCGAACCTCGATGGAAGGTCAGGCTGTGAGGTGCAGGCCTCAGAGACTGTGCCGATCCTAAGGTTTCCGATCCAAGGCGGAGGCCCTTCAAGAAAGCAAACTGGGGTTCTTCTTCAAGTCCAGGCAGGTATCCTATGGTCCTCTGGCTATCCTCAGGCAAACCTGGGTTTGGGGTCTGGGGCTTTAGGGTTGAGGTCTTGGGGTTCCTACAGAGAATCTGGGTTCAGAACACCACTCGCACGACCAAGGAGCGAAGATGGCCTGCCGGAGGTTCGTAATTGAGTTCCCTGCAACGATCGACACCTGGGAGTGTAAGAGCAGTAGGAGTACCTGAATCAGGGGTGCTGATAGGGGTTCTATATGGGGTGCCAGGTATAAACAAAAATCCCGCCTGGACCCGGCCAACAGTTCGGCAAGTGGACGAATCCCCCTCCCCCCCCCCCCCGAAATCGCGCAAATCGCCTCGTCAACCTGGAGGCTTAACCCGACTGCGAGATTGAGGTCAGCTGAGGGGCCTCCGGAATGTCTCTGATCACTCCTGAGCTGCACCAAGGGAAGTCTCTGGAATTGTGCAGAACAAAGAAAAACCAGGGTAATAATACATATATAAAAAATATACTGATTGTTTTATTAGTAGCAGCATTAGGAGTATTGGTGTTCTTCTTCTTGGTTTTACCATGACATCAGAGACAATGATTATGATGATAATCTGGCGTGCTCCTTTCCGCCAAGTCGCGATTTAGCCGGATCCACGGGTGCACCTGTGCCTGCACCCGGAGTTCACATGCACGCAAACCGGGGGCGGGAACGTGGCTCTGCGCATCTCAGAGGCTCGCCATCCAGGAGTTAACAGCACAGTTCTCTGCATGCGAAGCGCAAGTCCACTGCAAGCCAGAACAAGAGCCCTTCAAGTTAAAGAGCAATTGCATTCCGACTGCTGAGTGGCAGCAACATTCCCAACCAGGAACGGAACCCCAAGTTGGTTAGCCAATGCCTTGACCCTGGCCAGAAGCTCTGTGAGCAGCCGCGGATCTTTCTGCGTGTAGGGAAGGTACTTCCCTTCCTTGTACCAAGTCCTAGGGCCGCGTGAAGCTCGGCCGGAGCATTTCATCGCAAGTCCATCACAAAACCGTGCAGAGGATCACATCGGCGCATCGAAAGCACATGAATGGCAAGGGCTAGCTTTCGGCTCAGGCGCTCGATCCGCGTAAACGGAGTGACTTCCTTAGCATGCAACCGCTCCTCCAGCCCTTGCAAGGTCCGAAACCCCGAGCTCGAATCAAACTCCTGATTCAATCATTGCATCATTTCATTCTATATAAAAGCTTGCAAAAAATTGGGCTTCAGAAGAGTCAAGGCTTCAGGCTGTCACAGTCGATCCTGTTTTCCATTCACGGCTTCTGGCTACTTCATCCGTAAACTAGAGGGGACCGTCGAGACGATTGACATCGGTGATTCGACGCTTCGAGACCGACATCTGCAATGTGGTCTTGTTCTTCAACGAACACAGTCTGTGGCATGCGCACTCAACGGTCATGCGTATGACATGCAGGGCAAGCCTTTGAAAACTCTGTGCTGGATTGTCGGGGAAATCATGCTGAATAGCTGCATCCTGAAAGAGCTACAGCCACACCATGGTATCGTCCATGAGAATACTAATTCGCTAAACTGGAACTCGCTTGTCTGCACATCAGCACAACCACAAGCTGGGTGCCCCAGGTCCCATGTCCCGGATGTTTACATGCCGACCTTTATTTTCTTCAATGATTCATAGAGGCCTACCCACAACGCAGGTCATGTGGGTGCAACTGCATAATCGCTAGGAGAGAAACCGACTGCAACTGTAAACACTCAATGCCACAGGCTCCAATGACTCTCCTGCCTAACCTGTCCCCAGTGCTGATGTTCAACTGCACAAAAATCATTGCTGGAAGATGGCTAACGTAAGCACTGCACTGCACCCCGTCAGCTCTGGCAGAATGGCTCCTCCGGTGAAAATCGAGAAGGACTGCACTGGGCTGCCATCCTTGCCCGTGCCCTATCTATTTTACTCTAGCATGCTACAGTCTCTTGTTGTTAGCTATAAGCAGGAATTCACTAGCAACCCGGACCAAGTGTAGCCAACCAACCCACCCATGGATATCAGGTCGCCTGCAGCCTACATATGAGTCATCAGCATGCTAACATGCTTCCAGGCGGCGCAGGGATAGATTTTCCAGTGATCTGCCTGCAGATCCTCTCCATGCAGCACCTCAAAAAACAGTCTTCAAGTTTCTGTAACACGACATTCCCTCCTGTTGCACCTTGGACCCGTCCCATGCGCTCGGGGTCTGGCTTCTTGAGTCCAGCGCCTACGCCTACGTTGCACAACCAGGTATGTTGCTCAAAGGCCTCACTCATGGCAACTCAGCATGTGCATGGGCAGAAGCAGCAGCTGCAGTTGGCATGCCGTTGGATCAAAAGAGAAGGATACCACCAGAACATGAAATATGACTGCTATGAACTACTTCGATAGGCCTCTGCTGATACGATGTAAAGAACCGTGTTTTCTCGTAGTCACAGGTGCTATCAAGTTCTATTGCTGCGATGATGCTCTTTACGGCAACGGCCGCTATGTTGCTCCCTTTAGTGCCATTGCCGCCACCACTACAAGCACAACCAAGTAACCATCGGCCACGACCAATGCCACTACAGCCCTGCTACTGCCACTGCTGCCACTGCGACCGCGACGACGTTGATTTTGCCGACGAACGCGCTTGTATATTGTAAGAACTATCATATTATATATATATATGTTTACATATCTATCTATCTATCTATCTATATAGATAGATAGATAGATAGCAATATATATATATATAGAGATAGATAGATAGATAGATAGATAGATAGATAGCAAAAGACGTTTATTAATGAATAATTCCTCGGCCCCGGCACGTCCTGGAACATGGCCCAATCCTTCTCTGTGTCGGAGCCAGGAAGATCTGGCCTCCATGGGCCCAGAGAGCCCTGAAGAGCCCTTAGGGAGGGAGTACATACCTTTGGGCTTAGGGCTTCGGGCTTTGGCTTGGGGCCCTGAAGGAGTACATACCTTGAAGTGCAGCTTAGAGTTTAGGGTTTTGGACTCCTTTTTCTTTGGTTTTTACTATATTTTCCTATACTATACTTTTCTATACTATACTATACGATACTATACGATACTATACTCTATACTCTATACTCTATACTCTATACTCTATACTCTATACTCTATATACTATACTGTACTATACTATACTGTACTATACTATACTAATGCTATACTATACTAATGCTATACTATACTATACTATACTTTACTTTACTATACAAAACTATACTTTACTATACTATACTTTAATTACTTAATTCGAAGAGTCTAGTCTAGGCTCTCTGGCGAAGCACGAAAGCTCGGAGTATGGCACGACCATGCCTAGAAGCCTACCGCAGCCAGGTCGCATGAGGTGGATATCCACCTTGAAACCGCAAGTCTTCAGCAAGCGAGTCGCCCGGACTGCCTGGCACTGCCAGGCAGAAAAAGAATTCATTTTCTGCCCCTGTTCCGAAAGCCTTCGCAGGCTGCTGCTGCTTGACAGGCGGCTACGTCTTGCATTCTCCGCCTACTTCCCGGTGTCTACACGTCAAGAAATCCACATCTACGCGCAAGCATCCAAGTCGGAGGTAACGCGATCATCAGCGCTTCATCCAGCAGTGCGAGGCCCACGGCTTAGGTGAGCCTTAAGCCTGAAACTAGCGACAACTCAATAATTCTGACAGGATTTTGTAGAACATTATTCTATAACTACAACAGGAAGCCTAAGGGGTAGTTTTGTTAAGTGGAGGTAGCAAAACCAAGTCCGGTCCCAGCTGCTGCGGCTCGGTCATGCCCTCGATTGATGTATGCGAGGATCGCGTCGTCAGTGTGCTGCACGCCGATCTGAACCCGGGTGCAACCGTAGCGCCTCAACCGGCGAACTTCCGCCGGGGTGATATGGTCCGGCCGGGTTTCCAAGGTAAGGCCGATGATCTTTGTGACGGCCCTCTCGTTAAGGCGCTGCTCTTCAAGCAAAGGCCGACGCTCTCGGATCCTGGCCGCGTTCTCCCCTTTCTCGCCCAGCTGGCTCAGCTGCTCGTCAAAGGTGTTGGCAGCGTAGAAGAGATCTCGGCAGAACTCCTCCTGGTAGTCTCGGGGATAGTGCGACCAGGTGCCCCCGAGCACGATAATCTCCACCTTGTCCACCGTGTGACCCTGCTTCGCAAGAGTGCCGGCCCTATCATAAAACTGTCGCACCGGGCAGAACTCGTTCTGATTAGCTCTTGCAACCGCAGGCTCTGTGCTCAAGTAGGACCGGGGCTGGCCGGGCTCGTCTGGGCAGTAGTAGCAGTCGTTGGGACATGAAAACCTGCCGGGAGCCGTAACTATCGTAATGACCACCACCCCAGAATTCGAGCGCACAGCTTTCTTCGTCGTGGCTTTTTCGAAGAAAGGGTTTCGCTCGATGCGGCCGGCATCCCGCAGCCTGTAGTAGGCCCGGACAATCTGCGGCTTAGACAGCGTGGTCTTAAACTGGCGCCGGACCGCCTGGATGCGGCTCTCGTACTCTTTCTCTGACTTGAACTCCGGGCCCGAAAGCAGTGCCAGAACAAACTGCTCGAAAGCTTCCAGATCCTCCTCACTGTGGGGCTGGGCGTGATATGACATCCACTCCTCGCAGCCCTGCTCGAAAGCCCTCAGGTGCTTGTCAGCAGCTTCAGAAGTCGTAACGACTTCCTTGCTGGGCACCATGTACATTTTGCCAAGGCGAGCTGTGAGGTGGTCATCCTCAACCGCCACCATCATGCGCACACGCAGGGCGGGGGCCCCCTCCAAGAAGCTACGTGGGGTCTTCACAGGAAGCTTAACTAAAATCTCACCTCCCTATGTGGGGCAGTTCGACTCTTTGCACAGCAGGGGTTTTTTTGCATCTGAACTCATCATGTCAGAACAGACTTTCGCCTCGTCCAGTGAGGATGCAAAGGTTGCCAAGTTGGGGCAGAGCTTCATACTAGCAGTCGATGCCTGACTCTGAAGGAACAAGGACCCGTCCGTCCCGCAGCCCAAGATTCTAGAGAGGAGTCGAATCACTTTTGCAGCCCACCTGTTATCTGTCAATTCAGATCATGCCCCGGGCACTCCCGTCCAGCTGGGTATTCTTGGATCGCAGCTCTGCCAGCTCCCCCTGGAGGGATTCCATCAAAGAGGTCTTGCCCTGCAAGAGGGTGCATCCGGACTCGAGGGAGACTTCGGACTGTCGGGCCGAATGCTACCTGCCTGCCTATCTGTCCTATCTATCCTATCCTATCCTATCCTATCCTATGCTATCTACCTACCTATCTATCGATCTATCGATCCATCGATCTATCGATCTATCTATCTAGATATCTATCTATCTATAGGTTCTATATACTCACATACCTATATATGTGCTTTGGTCAGAACATCAAATCACAACCTTTTGAAAAATAACATATATATATATACACATATATATCATGATATATATATATATATTTATTTATTTATTTATTTATCAATTTATTTATCTATTTGTTTATCTATTTATTTATGAATCTATTTGTTTATTTGTTTATGTGTGTGTAGGCATAGATATGGATATAGATCATATAGATCTACATATACACTATAGATATGGACCGATAGATATAGTATATGCATAGAGGCCTTGCATGTGATGGTAACTGAGATACAAGGGAGCCTGCTTCGGTCAAGAGCCTGGGAAATGCCAGGTTTGTGCCTGTTTCACGACTAACCACGACCATCCATGACCACAATACTCAGGGTTGAGGGTGTCGGAAGTTTAGGGTTTATGTGGGAGCTGGTTTCATGACGCTTGAGATCCCATGGCTGGGTGTCCAACATGGTACTTTCTTTCCCGACGATGTGCTTCACAGAGCGACTACGGGCGCTGCACCTGCATGTCGAGGATCCGCTGCTGCAGGCTCTGCCGCTCCTGCGCCGAGCGCTGCACCTGATGCACGTTTTCGGTTCAGTGCTGCGGAAGCTTGCAGAACGACTGCTAGGTCTTGCACAAGTTTAGAGAAGCAGCCTGCAACTGACTGTCACGTGCGCAACAGAACAATTCCGGCAATTGATAATGCTAGCTCCGTATCTTCTATTCGGTCCAGGAGATACAGGATGTGGAGCCCACGCTGCGATACCTGTAGAAAAAAGCCTGGCTGACTGGCAGAATCGAGGGCATTATGTGCGCACACCACAGAACTACAAGCATGTCCACTTCCCTGAAATATCGCGGCTCCTGCGCTGCTTTTGCTTCGAACCGTCCAACTCACGCCCTTTTAAGGGCATGTGCCAAGTAAGCATAGAATCAGTAGCACTTGCTATCAGCATGTCCATACCCTACCCTAAACCCTCACCCCAAAACCCTCATTCTACCACTGTGTGACCTGATCCTTGCTTCTACCATTGGTGGCTACGAAAAGAGGCACGGCAGAGTGAGACAAACCAGGGTGCGTACGCAGGATCTCAGAAAATTGCAGGCTTGCGCTGGCGTCAGTGATTCGTCTATGACCTTCTCTGCCATAACTGCTTTACGATCTTATATAATCATACTTAAACTATCTTATGCATTATGATAGCTCTTGAGATCCTTGACTGGATGATCCGGCTAGCTATTCGTTGCGAATTCCGGGTTGCAGACCCTTGTTTCGGGTGTGCTGTCTCGCGAATTAACGCTTCACCGCAGGGACACACGTCTTCGGCGCTCTGCCGTCTTCGGGTCCATACACGGTTTGGGCTTTAGGGTCGAGGGGTTTGGCCGTGTCCGACGGGTGCAAATGAAAATTCAGAATGCCAGGCTCAGAAGTCTGAGTCAAGTAGAATATGACCAGCTTTGGATCAACTGTCTCCGCTGCCGCCACTGTCATCACTGCCACCCGAGTTGGCCCCAGAGAGGCCAGAAAGTAAACTGGAGCCTCCATCACCTTTCTTCTTGCGCCTCTTCCCGCCCATCTTTTTAGCCGTGTTCATGAACAGCTTCTCCAGGCGGTCAAACCTTGCATGCAAGAAGCAAGTTTTAGGGCTACCTGAGGGATCTTGGAAAGATCTGCAAACACGGTTCTCTCCCACCTGTTCTAAATCGGTTGAAACCCGGAGCCTGTCTTCCATGGAGTCATCCTCCTCCGGCCATGGCATTGTCGTCGCACTCGAACCTCCAAATCGCCGGATGGAGTCTTCGGTGACGATGTGCGCAGAGGCTGGCTCTACAATCTGAACCCCACCAGGCAAGCCCACATCACCCTCGTTGAACTCCAGTCGGTCGTTCAGCTTCAGGCCTGTTCAGGTGCCCAGGCATCACTTCTCCGTAAAACGTACGTGAAACGCCCTCAAGCTCAGGATGTTCAAAAGTTGCAGAGGATTCGGTCGGGGCCCGGGGGGGGGGTTGATCAAGTGCTTTGTGAGAGCACAACAAGCACGGTAACATGAACACTAGTTCGTTGTCCTTCTAGCCTAGCGAAATAGAAGCCACTAACACCAAAGCTTCTTTCTCATCCTCTTGCTGCTCATCTCCTCCTCCTGCGGCTCCTAAACTTTTCTGAAACATGACGACAACGACACCACCATCTTTCAACTACGACAACCACCAAGACTCACTACTGGGGCTGTGAAGCTGTCGCGACCCATTGGCAACTGCGGTCGCTATCTTTCAAGAGATTCGTGGGAACCAATATGCAGCATGAAGGTCTGGAGCAGATGTCCCGGCTGGTCGAACATTGGGTGCCCCTGGCTTTGTTGCAATCGCCCCGACCGCCTCGCTACGGCTGAACTCGGTGACACCAGAGCATTGTGACGGTATGTAATAGTAACCCTTTCTCACTTTGGGTAACCCTATACATGACATGTCCAGCCTTTCAGGAATCTGGCCCATCGCTTGTGAGAGATCTGCTCCAATGTGCTAACCTCAGAACAGAAGCGCCTGTGGAAATGATGCACACGTGCCGATGCATGTGAGACAGTTATTATGTCAACACGGTTCGTTCCGCCCACTGCCGTCGATATGCGACGATGACCATGATTCTAATGACTTCACTGTTCATGGGCATAGCATATGATCTGGCAGCAATGATTCAGCACCTGTGCGGCTGAAGTTGTGTATTCCCTTCCACTGTGTAACTGCTTTTGATGCAGACGCTGCAGTCATTGTACGCTATTGCGAGTAGTGTGGCCGGCATGATTGTGAGCGCCGCTGGGCTTCTTTTAAGGCTATGACTATGGGGGCCCTTTGAGGATTACGAGGATGTAGTGGTGAGGATGATGAATGTGACGATGATGATGATGATGATGTCGATGTCGCCGATGGTGATGACTGACTGACTGACTCATTGGTTGGCTGACTGACTAACTGACTGATTGATTGGGATGATTGAATAAATATTGATTGATTGATTGATTGCTTGATACAAGTAGATTGATTGGTTGCTTGACACAGAGTGACTGACTGACTGACTGATTGATTGGTTTAAGTGGCTTAATGAATGCTTGATTGATTGATCGGTTGCGTGATTGACTGACTGACTGACTGATGGACCGACTGACTGACTGACTGACTGAATTGAGTGAGTGATTGGCTTGAATGATTGAACATGATTGCATGATTGCAAGACTGTACGATTGCATGGGTGAATGAATGAATGAATTGAAGAATGAGTGAATGAATAGGAAATGACTGACTGACTGAATGAATGAATGAGTGAGTGAAAGAATGAAGGAACGAATGCATGCATGAACCAGCAAAGGAACGAAAACGAACGAAAGAAGGACGGAAGGAACGAACGAATCAACCAATCAACCAATCAATCAATCAACCAATCAATCAATCAAGCAAACAATCAACCATTCACTCAGTCAATCAATCAATCAGTCAATCATTCAATCAATCAACCAATGAATGAATGAAAGAAGCCGATCATCATGACAATGAACCAGGCAAGGGCTACTGATCATGAAGCCTGCGCTTGCACATACCGCAATTGTATTTATTCGTCGTCGTCGTGGTCAGCAGCAGATTAAGCACCGTAACACAATCAACACCAGCATCGTCATCATGCCTCGATAGTGACAATAAGGTATTATCAGTCTTCGCCACCGTCACCATCATCACCATGCCATTTCCAGCATCACACCTACCGTGACCCAATCATCGGCCTGACGCCGGCCGTTGCATCCGCCGCCAGACTGGCATTTATGTGCCACTCGTCTACAGAACACGTTTACGATGGTACATCCGGAGTTACACGATGGTACATCCGGAGCTACACACCGGCGCGGTAGTATGCATTTCTAACAACAGCTAGCTAACAAACGCCCATACTCCAGGCCCCTGGCGATGACAGCTGCACGGTTCAGACGCGCGTAGCCTTGCATGTCCGTGTAGACATGCTGGTAGGCCTGGTTTAACTGGGCCACGAGCAGGTTCACGAGGATTACTGACACCATCAGAACGAAGCCAATGATCACGATCATGATGCCAGCCTCAGCTTTCAACTCCTCGTAAGAGTCTTGTGGGAACATTCCCAAGGACATCTGCGTCAGGGAAATAAGCCAAGTGTTGATACCAGCAAACTCCCAGAGTTCGTGCTCTATAGCACTAACGGCGCTTGCAAAAGCGACGATCATGAATGCCAGGGCCATAACGAAGAGGAACACCTCGGACAAGACTCTTCCAAAAACCAATACATAGGCTGAAATATGCATTGAGAAGATGGTAAAGTCAAGCACCAGAGACCAGTATAATAGAATTGCGATGCAGGAGAAGGCAG